AAAAAAAAAAAAAAAAAAAAAAAAAAAAAGACAGCAGGAGAGCTGGGCCCTGCACAGCAACTGGTGTTAGGCAGGGCGGGAGCTGGGGTCTCAGCACTGGGCCCCTCAGAGGTGCCTTCCCTTCCCCCACTATACCCTGGAGAGTATAGTAGATGGTCACGGCTTCGCTGGCCACATTGGACAGACATGCTGCTGAGCTGTTTCTGGGCACCTGCAGATATGTGTGGGCCATCCCCATGGCTGTTACTATGGAAGACTGAGCCCCGCACCTGGTGCTGCCCCACGGAATGGGACCTAATGACTTGCTTGTTCTTGTTGGTGGAGGAAGGCCCTGGGGACTCGGGGGCGGCCCTGGAAGGACCCAGGTCAGCATCAGTGCTCTCTCTGCCCAGGCCCTGCGATGTCAGGCTGACCTGGCCGTGTGTGTACAGGGTGACGGGACCTTCTCTCGGGCTGTGACTCTCGCTTGCTCCCACAGTACCCTCACTTCTTGAAGAGAGAAGGCAACAGGCTTCAGATCATGCTGCAGCGCAGAAAGCGGTACAAAAACCGGACAATCCTGGGCTACAAGACACTGGCTGCAGGCTCCATCAACATGGCCGAGGTGAATGTTCTGGCCTGGCTGCGGCTGCTGCATCAGGCTGGTCCTCATGGGTGCTGGGCCCCATGCATGTGGAAGATTTTTCTCATGTGTCCAGATATCTGCTTCTCTTAAATTGACCAGGGGGGCCTTGAGGCCAGGCTCTGCTGTAATGGCCAAGCACGGTCCCTTGGTGGATGCTTCCTCTCTGGGTCCCTGGCCCCAGGCCGCTCAGCTGGCCCCCCCCGACACACCTGCAGCTCTTGCGTGTGCACCCCGCTTCCAAGCCTGTCCTGCCCGTTGGCAGAGGGTAGGTTTCAGTCCAGGGTGGGTCTGTGCTGGAGCCTGTCCCAGGAAGCATAGCTGCAGGTGCCCCCACCAGCTGGTTCCTCCTGTGACACATCCCGCTCAGCAGGCATCTGGGCTGGGACTGGAGGTGCAGGACAGCCTGGTGCAGGGGCTGCTGGCGGTATCCAGGTAGGGGCGAGGCCAAGGGCTCGGACATGGGGGCCTGTGGAGCTGCAGACTTGGCTGTGGGAGCCGGGCAGCCATGGCCCCAACCTGCTTGTTTCTTATGCTAAGGAATCTTCACACCATGGGCTGCATTCTGGGGTCGGGTACTCCGTCATTGGTTCCTGGGGCACAAGAAGCTGTGTTGGTGCCACCTGGGACAGGATAAGGGTGTGGTCAGTCAGGCCAGCTCTGGAGTGGGAGCCAGAGCTGCCAGCAGCCCCCAAACTCCCTTCATCCTACCCAGGACCCTCTGCTTCCTGGGCCACACATCACCTGTGCAAGGCTCAGAGAGTGGGGGTGCCCACCAGTAGGCTATCCCCCAGCACCCTCTGTAGCCTGTGGGCCTCATATGCCTCCACCAAGGGCAGGGGCAGGTGGTTGGTCCCTTTGGACATTTGGGCCCCACCCATCCATCCATCTAGGACAGGCAGGGTACAGAGAGCATGAGCTGGCTCTCTTACCCTCCACCTATGGTCTCCAAAGCCAAGGTTCTCTGTCCTTCCACCTGTACTTCTCTCTCCCCCTAATTCTCTCTGGGCAACTCCTCCTACCAGTGGCTTTGTCCTCAGGACCCAATTGGACCCTCCCAAGTGTTCCCAAGCATGGAGTCAGACCTGTCCTCCTTGTGTCCTGTCCTGTTGCAGTGGCTGTCCCCCACCAGTGAGCTGCTGGGGGCTTGCTGAGTATCATTGTTGTGAGCATCACTGGTCAGCAGGGGTTTGGGGCAGCCCCAGGCCCAGAGGTCAGACCCAGCAGTCCAAGGGGGACAAAGACACGCACAGAGACAGGTGGAGGCTGGCTTCAACCATAAGCTGGGGGTATAGCGGGCTCGTGTGGCATTGAGGCTGCACACCTGAGGAGGGGGCACAGGGGTGTTGGTGGAGGCTGGTGGTGTAACCGAGGGTGCAGTGTGGGGCAAGACTGCCCACCAGCACATGGACGTGCTGGGGCCCCAGGGCATGGCTGTGATGGGGCTGGTGGGGCTCACCTGTGCAGCCCTGCTCAGTGGAGCCGAGGTCCACTGGTCTGGCACAAGGAGGAGCCAGTTGGAGTGGGGCCCCAAGCCAGATGTTGGCGCTGAGTGCTCAACTGTGATGGGGCTGGTGGGGCTCACCTGTGCAGCCCTGCTCAGTGGAGCCGAGGTCCACTGGCCTGGCACAAGGGGGAGCCAGTTGGAGTGGGGCCCCAAGCCAGATGTTGGCGCTGAGTGCTCAGCTTTATGGGTTAAGCCAGCATTTCTTTGGCCTGGAGCCCTCCTGGCTGAGACCATTGGGAAGGACCAGTACCACATCCAACTCAGCCCCGCGTGCAGAGATGCCCCCAGCCACCTGCCGCATCTTTCTACACAGCCCTTGGGACAGTCCAGCTGAGGAGCAGGTGGCCACACAGGTGGCAGGACTGCAGTATGGACAGCCCTGCCATGTCTGTCCTCTGGTCTGGCACTTGAGGATCTACCCAGTACCTGCAGAGGGGAGTGTGTGGGGGTGGGCACGAATGCAATGAGACCATCCTTGGGACCAGTCTGGTGGAAGTAGGAGGACAGCTGCTTGGGCGTTGTGTGAGGCCGGGCCTCAGGAGGGTGGGCAGACCCTCGTCAAGGGAGTGTGTGGGGGTGGGCACGAATGCAATGAGACCATCCTTGGGACCAGTCTGGTGGAAGTGGGAGGACAGCTGCTTGGGCGTTGTGTGAGGCCGGGCCTCAGGAGGGTGGGCAGACCCTCGTCAAAGGAGACCAAGGCTTAGGGGGTGTGTTAGTCTGTTTCTGTTCCTTATAACAAAATACCTGGAACTGGATAATTTATAAAGAAACAAAATTTATTGCTTACAGTTTCAGAGTCCACAGTTCAGGGAACACGTCTGGCAAGGGCTCTGTGCTGGTGGTGGAGCCCTCAGAGCCATGCCCCTGACCACCATTTTTAATCCATTCACTGCTGCATGGTCCTGCAATCTAGTCACCTCTTCAAGGCTCCACCTATCAATTACTATAATAGGATTTCCCACCCTCAATGGTTACAGTGGGAATTAAGCTGCTAGTATCTGAGCTCTGAGAGGCACAGTTCAGTCAGTCCACAGCACAGGGATGGACTGATCCGTGTTGTGGGAGCCTGAGGCTCGGGGTGGACCAACTTGTGACCTGGCTACAGGGGTGTAGTGGACACTGTGGGCTGTCCCAGAAACACAGTAGTGGCTCAGGGAGCTGGGCTGCCCTCACGGGGGTGGGACCCACAGGCCTTGCTGTCCCTTGAGCTCCGTTCAGCCCAAGGAGACCTGGAGACCTGAGTGTCTAGGGGTGGGGTGGTTCACAGTGGAACACTTGGGGGCATTCAGAGTGAAGACAGCCAGGAGCCATCACCCAGCACTGTGTGCCTGCCGTGATTTCCCTTTAGCCTTTTTCCTGTGAGTATGTTTGTTTTAGCAAAACTTAGATTATACTGTTTATACAATTAAGCATGACATCCTGAGCAGTTTCCCATGTCACTAAAATTAATTTGAAAACAAAGGGGAGGAGCCCGTCAGGAGTCAGGGCCTGAGGGAGCTGGGAGAACACCAGCCAGGCCCTCCGGGACCGCTCCTGGAGGAGTCGACTCCAGCCTTTGCCATGGGTCACTCAGGGTCCACAGAGCATCTCATGGGCCAGCCTGGGAGAGTGGTCCCAGGGTCCCTCAGTGCCACGCTGTGCGGCTACAGCAGAACAAGAGTGGGAATGGCTACTGTCCAGGACAGTGACTGGCCAGCCAGTGCCACCCCAGCAGAATTCCCTGCCTCAGGGGTTGCTGGAGCCCTCCCCAGGAGCACTGGGCAGGGGGCAGAGGATCAGCAGCCTGGGAGTGTGCGCTGCAGCCGTGGTCCTGGGCCTGGAGAAGGGAGGGCTCTCGTGCGGCTGAGTGGACGAGGCCCTGCGGGTGAAGGCAGCCCCGCCTGCGGCATGGCCTGTGCTGTACTGTCTTTAGAGACCCGCGAGGGGCTCGCCCTCAGTTTGGCACCTGGTACCGAGCATGCTCCTGCCCTTGTGCATAGGACCCATGCCCAGGCCCCTGTGCTCCCATCTCAGGGGTGCCCACCACAAGCTGGCTACAGGGACCAGTGCAGAATGCCCTGGGTAGGAGGCTTGCTTTCTCTCCCATCCTCCAACATGAAGGAGGGAAGAGAGCAGGTGTTTCTTAGGGGAAAAAAGGCCCAGCCCTACCTGGGGTCCTGTGGGTTAGTGTGAGCAGGTATGGTGGCCCAGCGCTGACTGCAGCTGCCCCCACCCAGGCCCTGCTTCCTGAGCCGAATGCCAGCTCCTTGCTTACCCCTTCCAGAACGGTGTCTGGGCCACTCCTGCTGCATTGATCTCATTTTGTCGGGATGCCTGGCAAGCTCAGCTCTGACGTTGGTGTCTAGCTTGAGTGTTCACACTGTTCTGTGTAAGGTCAGATGTCCCTCTGGGAAGGTGACATGGGGCACATGGAGCTCCGCCAGAGAGGGGGGCAGTGGAGCCACGGCCATCCTCAGTGTGTGCTGCTGCGTGTCAGGCGTGTGCATGTGGGCAGTGTGTGTCCTTTGTGTGCACACAGGCACATGAAGGCATCAGGAGGGAGTGTGAGGGTTGGTGTATAGCTGCCAGCTCACCTTCCTGATTGGTTTCTGAAATGGCGCTGAAAGATGATGTGAGCTTTCTTAAAATTTTTTTCATCTTGATTAAAGAGTTTGCATCCTGGGCCGGCCCGGTGGCGCACTCGGTAGAGTGCGGCGCTTGGGAGCGCAGCGGCACTCCCGCCGAGGGTTCGGATCCCATATAGAGACCGGTCTGCTCACTGGTTGAGTGCGGTGTGGCCGCGACACCGAGGGTTGCAATCCCATTGCCGGTCACGAAAAAAGACAAAAAGGAAAAAAAAAAGAGTTTGCATCCTAAATCAGGCCCCAAAAGTTTTAAAAAATCAGGTCCATGAAATCCTAACATCAGGATCTGAACAGATGGTCCCAAAAGGTGGCTTCTGCAGCGCAGAGGTCCCAAGGCCGAGACAGTTGTGGTGTCCTCATTGTCACGTGCACACTTCAGAGGCTGCCTGCATGGCACCGCAGAGTGGCTGGGAGCACCAGGGCTTGCTCTGCAGCTCTCTGCTTTACTTGACTCTCACGACAGAGAAGGTCTTGACTGGTCCTGTGAGGCAGGCCTGGTGGGTGTCTCTCCTGCTGTTGGAGGCCCTGGCCTGAGCTGGTGGCTGCTCCTTGGGCCCCCACAGACCATGTCCCTGGACATCTGATCCCACAGGGCAGGTGGCCCAGCCTTAACACACTGCTGTGCTGCTGCTGAGTCCCCCAGGTGGGCAGAGGAAGAGACCTGCATGGTGGCTTCACAGGGACAGCAGGTGGGCCTGAGACCAGGCCAGATGTGGACATTCCTATCTGTCCCCCTGCAGTCGGTAGTGGACATTGGCCTTACTAGATCATGCCAGTGTCCCCACCTGCCTCCCAGGTCCTCCTCTCTGGAGGCCAGCTCCCCACTCCATAGTTACTGTGCTGCGGGGCTAGCACCTCCTGCCTGTGAGGAGAGGAGAGTCTTCAGAAGCCCAGCACACACACCAGGGCCCTTCTGCCTGTGGTGCTTTCTAGAACAGTGTCCCCGGCCACAGGTGATGCAGCACCCCTCTGAGGGCGGCCAGGTGCTGAGCCTCTGCAGCGACATCAAAGAGGCCTCTGTAAAGGTGGCTGAGATCTGGATCGTCTCCCTGTCCAGCCAGCCCATCGACCACGAGGACAGCGCCATGCAGGCTGGCCCTAAGGCCAAGGCCACAGGTGAGCGTGGACACCTCCTGCCTCTTTCCTGCCCCTGCTGTGGGGAGGCTGCTTCCTGGAAACTTGGTGGCTAAATCACAAGCACTGTTGCCGGGGCCTGGGCTGTGGCCAGTCCCTGCTCTGCTCTTGGTGGCTGTGGCACCTTGGTCATTGAGCCCTGAGTGTCCGCAATGGATGTTGTGGGGCCTTATCCCATGATGTCTTGGACGGTCCGGGTGCAGGCCCTGGTCTGGGGCATTGCTGCCATCACAGCTGGGGTACTGCTCTCTCCCCCGTGCCCTCATACCCCTCCCCTCCTCTCCTGTCCGCCAGCCCCCAGTTCCCCTCTCTGCATCTTGGGTGGGGAGGCCATGGCTCTGTTTGCCGCCTCATCAGCACGCGAGGTGGAACCTCACGGCGGCTCCCTTCGTGTGCTTGTTCTGCAGATAACTACTCCGAGGAAGAGTATGAGAGCTTCTCCTCTGAGCAGGAGGCCAGCGACGATGCCGTGCAAGGGCAGGTAACCTTAGCTCGAGGCTCGGGCTGGTGGCGGGCCCTGCCACACAGTGCAGGGCCCTGGGGAGATGCCGGCCTCGGGGCCTGCTGGCCTCAGGCTCTGAGCTCAGCTCACACCAGGCATGACACTATGGATGGGCTCAGGACCTTCCAGAGCCCACTCCCCAGGGTCCTGGGGTCTGTAGGGTCCTCACTGGCTGTCAGGAGGGCCTCACAGACCAGGGGAGGGCGGGAGAGCCACAAGCCTAGCCCGCAGTGTGCCGTGCCTCTCTCCTGTCCCCAGGGCCACACATGCGTCAGCAGGCAGCTCTGAAGGGCTCTGGAGACAGCCGTGGCTCACTGGTCGGCTCTTGGTGCCTGGGCTCATAGCCTGTGGCTCAGGCACTGTGTGTGTCTCTGCAGGACTTGGACGAGGATGACTTTGATGTGGGAAAGCCTAAAAAGCAGCGGCGATCGATAGTAAGAACGACGTCCATGACCAGGGTCGGTGGAAACTGCTTTTACTAACACAGGGGAAGGGCGGGGGTGGGGGAGGACAGTGTGGGCCCCGGGTCTTGCCACGGGGGGCTGGAAGCGAGGCGACCCATCCCTCACCCGTGGCCAGTCACTGGCTTCTCCTGGGGCTCAGGTGGGGATCCTCTTCCCCCAGATAGGGCCGAGAAGGTGCTGAGACCCCACACCCCGGCCTTGTTCTCAAGGCCAGGTAGAGGTGCCTGACCATTGTCAGTTAAAGTGGGTGCAGGCCAGGCGGGGGGCATCCCCATGCTGGCTCGTGGCTGCCAGCCCCCACTAGGTCTCCTGGCTCCAGCCTCAAGTGGCCACAAGGCCCAGAGGGGGTGTCAACAAGGCAGAGCCCCGGGCAGGCCCCTCCACAGGCAGAGTATGGAGGCCTATTCTTTCCTTGATTCAGTGCCCACAGACACTCTGTGTGCGGCTGGTTCCCTTGTTCTTGTTCAGGATCTGGCACCCTGGGTCCAGGGCCTTGGGGATTTTCCTCTAAGAGGAAAATGGGCTTGAGGCTGCAATCCCATTCTCAGGGGCCCCACCTAGTGTCAGCCCAGTGTGTCCACCGTGGAGCCTGTTGGAGAGCTCACAGCCCTGGGCTGTCCCCCACAGACAGGACAGGTCATGGCCTGGCCCAGCCAATGTTGGTTGCCCAGGAAGATTCATGCCTGGTGCTGATGAGGGTCCAGCCCAGCCCAGTACATACCCCTCCTCTGCAGTGCGTGACGGGCCTGCACAGGCAGTGCCGAGACCCCGTGCTGCTCCTGACTTGGGTGACGTGTGTCTGTGGGTGCAGTGCAGCAGCACCAGTGTGATCCTCAGTTCCAGGGCCCCAAGCAGTGTGTGCCTCCCATTGCTGGGTTGGCCCCATGAGGGTGGCTGAGAGCCGCCACCTCCATCAGTGGCCAGTGGCCGGAGCTGAGGCTCTGCAGCCCAGAGTGGCATGGGGAGCAAATGGGGTTTGGGCACTCCACTGGGCTCGTACCAGCTCTGTGCCCACCCAAGTGGTCACCCCCTACCCAGGGTGCATGGCGCCTTCCTTCTGGAGTGGGGCCAGAGCCTTTCCTGGGAGGTGGTGTGGCAGGAATGGGCCAGTAGACTGTGGAGGCCACCGGGAGTACTGTGGAGTCGACACACGCCCTCCCTTGGTTCCCTTTGCCAGGCCTGGGACTGTTGACTCCTCCCCAGCCCGTGTTGAGGTGTGATCTGGGCTTGTGGTTTGAAATGCTTGTGAACATGCGTACTGTTATTAAACCTCTTAGCTGCATCTGAATCCATCAGTGTCGCATCGTGAGCCGTGCCTCCTCCTGCCGAGGCTGCTGCGAGGGCCTAGTGCACTGCTGCACTGTGTCCTCTGAAGGGAAGGGGCTCCCGTGTTGTTTCTGACTCCAGGCTGCTTGTCTTGCAGCAACAAAACTTCAAGCAGAAAGTCGTGGCGCTGCTGCGGAGGTTTAAAGTGTCCGAAGAGGTGAGTGAGAGCTTCCCCTCCCGGACCGCGTGTCCTGCATGCCCACAGCCAAGCGTCCTGGTGGGGAGGAGGCACCTGGGGTCGGAGCTCCAGGCTAGGCCTGGCCGTGCCACCTGTGTCTGTGCGGCCCCCTCGGCATCACCTTCTGTCCGTCAGCGGGTAATGGTGGTGCCTTTTCCCAGGGATGGCTCGAGGGTCCAGAGGCTCAGGAGTCGCCTGCTGGGACTTGGTTGAGCTACAAGTCCTACCAGGAGGGGGTGTAACTGTAGGTGTGTGTCTATACGTTCTTATAAATAGGATTTATGTTTCAGAGCAGTTTTAGGTTCACAGTAAAACTGAGCAGAAAGTGCAGAGAGTTCCCATATGTCCCCCCCCCCCACTGTCAGTGTACCATGGGCTTTTTAATTTTCTACTTCTAGCTTTTCTCTAGTGTCCAAATTACCTATGATGAGCAGCATAACTTTCATAATCAAAAAGACCTTGGGTTTTTTTTAATGTGGTCAGAAGAAATTTTGTCCCCAGGTTCTGGATGCACAGTGGAGAGGGGGTGTTGAGGTGTGTAAGCCTGAAACAGCATCGTCACCTCTTGCCACAAAAGCATGCAGCCCACAAATGGTGGCCATGTGGCCACACACAGGAGGGCGGTGCCCCCAGAGGCAGCAGAGTGGGAGGTCAGCCTCCAGCGCCTGCACTCTGCAGTGGTAGCTCTTCTCTGGCCCAAGTGAAGCACGCAGTCACGTCTCAGCTCTGTTGGGGTGGGGAGGGGGTGCAGTGTTTCTGTGAACAACACAGAGCCAACCCGACTCCAGAGGAAACAGTCTCAGGGCTGCTGGGACCATCAGCCAGTTCCCTGAGTCCCTGAGCTTGCAACTTGATGTGGAACATTTGCAAGCCCAACCAAAGGTGGGTGTATTAGTCCATTTTGGGTTGCTATAACAGAAATACTGGAGACTGGGTAATTTATAAAGCACAGAGGTTTATTTGGCTTACAATTCTGGGACAGCTGCATCTGACACAGGCCTCAGGCTGCTTCTGTTCATGGCGGAAAGCAGCAGGCAGCTGGCAGGTACAACAAGCAGATCACATGGCAAGAGGAAGCAAGAGAGAGAGAGAGGTGGGAGGTGCCAGGGTCTTTTAAACAACCAGCTCTTGCAGGAACTAAGAGCGAGAACTCACTCATTAATCCCCCCACCTAGGGAGAGCATTAATCCATTCATGAGGGATCCGCCCCCCTGACTCAAACTGCCACACTGTGGATCAGATTTCCTTGAGTTCTGGGAGGACAATACATCCAAACTCCATCAATGGGACATTTAGCCACAGCGGGATCCCCGGCCTGGGCCCTTGCTGACCTCTGCTGAGGCCCTGTGTGTTGAGGAGTGGGTGTTCTCAGCTGGATCCTCACCATGGGGCTCCATACTCGCCTGGGCAACTAGGCCAAGTACCAGAATGTGCCTCACAGAATGGACTTGGTTCTCATTCCTGGGACTCACAGCCCAAGTTGGGAAAAGCTTGGCCTGGTGCTGTATTCAGGGAAAGGACCTTGTCATTATCATAGGAATAATCTCCCAGGTTTATGTAAAATTGACATAGATCAACGTGCCCCTTCATCGAGCAAGGTGATCATTTTTCCATATTTGCTACACGTATTCTCTGTCCTGTGAGGACCAAGCCACCTCAGCCACAGCACTGTGCCTGAGCCTCCCGTGGGAGGCAGAGCACTCCCGGCCACTGGGAGCCCTACACCAGGCATCGTCCTTCACTCTGGACCCTCACCGCAACCCTCACATATGCAGGAGAGGCATAGCAAGTTGGGGTCACCAGTCTGGATTGCAGCCCGTCTTAGGCTGTTAGGGCTGCTGTAACAAATACCTTAGGCTGGGTAATTTATAAATAATCAAAGTTGATTGCTCACTCATGGTTCTGGAGGCTGGAATTCTAAGATCGAGATGCTGCCAGATCTGGTGTCTGGCGAGGGCTGTTTCTCACAGATGACACCTTCTGTGTGTCCTCACATGGAGGAAGGAGGCACAGATCACCTCCCAAAGACTCCACCTCCTGATAGGATTGCCTTGGTGGTGTCAACATATGAATTTGTTTGGAGGGACACATTCAGAATATAGCATTCTGCCCCAGGCCCACCAAGATTCCTTTTCTCACATGCAGAATACATGTGCTCTGTCTCAGTGGCTGTAAAGTCTTACCTTTTTCCAGCTCCAACTCCAAAGTCAAGTCCAGAGTCTCGTCTAAATATTGTCTAAATCAGATGTGGATGAGACTCATGGTATGATCCAGTCTTAGGCAAATTCCCCTCCATCTATGAGCCTGTGAAGTCAAACAAGTTATGTGTTTCCAAAACACAGTGGTGGAAGAGGCACAGGATAGACATTTCCATCCCAGAAGGGAGAAATAGAAAGGAGGGGCAACCCTAGTGGGGCTCTCTGTGGTGGCCTCCTCCACGGCAGATCTCCACCTAGGCCTGGAGCATCCTTTGTGATCCAGTTGGAGGCATCTGTGCCCTCAGCTCGTACCCCCACCTCATGCATTCTGCACAACGCTGGAGTCGGCAGCTCATGGACACTGCCGAGGTTTAGCACCTGTGCCCTCTGAGGGGGTGGCTGCTGCTGCTGCACCCCCCTGGCGTTGAGCCCACAGTTGGGGCAGCCAAGGAGCCCTGGGCAGAATGCGGGGAGCAGGCCCTTGAAATTGTACCCTCAAGGCCCTGGCATTCTGGGCCTCTGATGCGGGGGAAGCCCCGGAGATCTCTGAAATGCCTTTGTACTCATTCTCCCGTTGTTTTGAAGAATAGCCTCTGGCTTCCTTCTAACCCTATTAATCTCATCAAATTTCGCTCAGCCACGCCCTTGGTCTTCTCTCCTGAGCACACTTTTTCATTATTTACAATGCAGACAACATGGCCAGGCAGAGAGTTTTCCAAATCTTTAACTTCTACTTCCCTTTTGATTATAAATTCCATCTTTACTTGTTTCTCTCTCCTCACATTTTATTGTAAGCATCCAGAAAAGCCACGCCTCACCTCAAGACTTTGCTTGGAGATTTTTTCTACAAATGCCCTAGTCCATGGGATAGACATTCTACCTTCCACAAACGAAACTCAGCCAAGTTCTTTGCCACTTTGTAACAAGGATGGCCTTTCTTCCTGTTTCCAATGACACATCCCTTGTTTCTGTCTGAGACCTCATGAGATGGCTTCTAGCATCCATATTTCTACCAACATTGTATTCACGACCCCGTAGATGCTCCAAGAAGAATGAGGCTCTGTCTGCAGCGCTCCACTGCTCCTGAGCCCTCACTAGGATCATTTTTTTTTTTTTTTTTCTTTTATCTTTTTCCGTGTCCGGCAACGGATCGCAACCCTCAGTGTTGCCCCCGTACCGGACCGGGGACCGGCAACGGGATTGCAACCCTCGGTGTTGCTCCCGTGCCTTG